CTCTGTATTCGGCACTTCGGACAGGGAACCTTCCACCTCCTCAAAGAAGTACTCATGTTCTCATGTTGTCCTGTCATATTCGTCATATTCGCCCTACTTCTTTTTCCGTGCATAGAGTTATGACAAAGTCGACGCTTTAGCCTGTAGTTGTTTCGTCGCATGACTGCCGCTCTTACGCTAACAAGTTTCCATTAAATGATACCATCAACCAAGTTTGGTTCAACCAGAAGACGAACCGCGGCCTAAGAATGCATCGCAAATTCGACATCTGAGTAGAATAGCTTCCACCTGCAGATGTTTAGGATTCCAGAGTCTGTTAGCTACTCCTTGATGCGTGTCTAACTCTGCCGAGTTACGGCCTCATCAGCTAACTCTTATTCTTTTCCTCTGGACCTGAAGAAATAGTCCTCCCAGGTTACTAGAAACAGGCGAAAATACAAGTCACTACAGTTCAACGAATACTTGGTGAACACTTTCTCTGCTCTTCTATTGTCAACTACTATGGAGCCGTCAATGCATGATATTAAAGTGCTTGCATGTCACAAGACCACGTCGCTAAGTCGAAATATCTAAATTCGTACGTGCGACTCGATCGATTACAATGCATACTAACATGCAAGCGTCGCGAAAGAGAAATGTCTTACTTTTCACCGATATGCGATAAGGTAAGAACGCCCAATCCGTGCTCTTCCAGGCGATTAGAAGCAGAGACTCGGTTCAATGACAGTATAACCCGGTATAGTGACTTCTAATCATCTTGCACTACTTTTTTATCGGTGAAAAGTAAGAAGCATTTTTGTAAAGTTTGCTGGTGGGTAAGTCAAATAAGGGGTTAATAAATTCTCTTCTGCAAGGGAGAACGGAGTGCGAAACCAGTGGAAGAGGAAAATTGGCATGGAGTACTTTCAGAAAACTGAGAATGTTTTTATCTGAAACCTTGTGCTTGAAACGGGAGGTTTCGAATAGTGTGCTTAACGTGCTACTCTGTGGATGCTAAATCTGAACCTTAGGCTTGCAAGGTACTCAAAAGCTGCCAAGGTACTACGCGGCTCGTCATGGGAAGGTGCATGTCGAGGATTAGAATAAAAATTAGAAAAGAAGATCCAGTGGGAAAGAGCAGAAACGGGAGCATGCGATGTCATTGCTCGAGCGAAAACTTTGAGGTAGCAATTGGCAGGGGGTGCATTGTTAGACGAACCGACCATTGCTAGACTAGACAGACATTAGACGAGGTTCCAAACGAGAGTCAACATTCCGTAAAATAACCTCAGAATTGATGGCAGGATTAGCTGAAGAAGTTCAGTGCATTAAGACAGAAGATTCACAAAAACAGAATTTTATGGCACAGTCGATAAAGGTGACGATTGCGACACCTTCTATTCAATTAGTAATTTGTCGCTTGCTCTACAACGAATCACAGACGCAGAACGTACCTACTCATGACTACAGGTCTCACACCTCCCCGCATTACTACGCAAAAGGACATGCATATCAATGCTCACAGGTCATTGGCTTGATACCACGTTCTCAGATGGCTACCCCAAAGACAGCAGGGTGGACTCCCCCTTCAACAGAATTAGCAGATACTACAAAAGATTTTCGCATCATTTTTATTCAAGTCGTATCTTTGGCGGGCAAAACCGAAACACTTCCTTTGCCACTTCTTAAGCTTCATCCTACCCACCAACACTTTATGAAATTTTAAAAGCGCAATCAAACATTTCCTCCTACCTGATCCTTATTTGAGGATGACTAAAGAGGCTTTGTGTAAAATTAAATCGGCTGACAATTAATATTAATACAACATATGATATTTTAACACTTTCTCATTTGATACCGCACCGAAGCGGAGTTACGGCACTGTCCCTTTGCTTCTAGTTGCTTAAGGGCCTATTTAAGCAGTCCACAGCTACATGGTGTCTGAGCAACTGCAGTGCATGGATGTAGAACGACATCGCTTGTAATATTTTGCTACTGCGAGTTTGCAGTTCTTTTCGATGTATTCATAAGTTCGTGAGATGGGTGATTTTAAAATGGTAAACAATCTGACTCAGGGAATGGAAATTGGAATAAAACTTGCAGAATGTCAACATTTTTTATAAAGGCGAAAGGAATTCGAACATTAAACAACGACAAGATGAAAATGTCGCCAACGAGTTTGAAGTACGACTCAGCATTACGGTTTGTTTCAAAATCACGAAGAGCGTAGCGGATGTTGTTCCGATTGTAGTTGTTGTCGTTTTGTCAACGTTTTCAAAGGCCAGTAAAGCTTAAATAGCATATTTATCCAGATTTATGATATCTGAGGTTTAGAACGGTATCTCAGAGTATAGACGTTCATTCTGGGGCGAAGGTGATATTCCCTCTTGCAAGCAAGTTTGCCTCAATGACGTATTTTCACGATTTGTACTGCACTTCAACGCGCCTGCAGCCATTTCAGGGTTCCCAAGCGAGAAAGGCTTCGAAACCACTTTCATCCTCTTTTTGGGTTATTTTATCAAACCGAACCAGGTTAAGTCTCTGAGTTCAATTTTCGCTGACAGATCGTCAGCACGTGAACCGGTGGCAACATTTCATGTGAAGACTACGTCATAGACAACCCTATTGAAAGCTAAGACAAGATTCATAACCTTTAAAGACCGCCGATATTTCGAAACTGTGCATGAGTACCGCGAGTACAGCTACTTTCAGGAGGGAAATCTTTGCATCAACATCTTATATTTCAATCTTTCCATATGCCAAACAGATTATCGAAGTTTGCCAATGCCAGTCCAACTCGTCGATTTAATTCCGGATCCGATGCGACCATTGTTAGTCAACACAACTCTGCAGCTCTTCCATATGGACCTCCGGTACTTTCATAATTTTCTTCTTCATGGCGTTCATTTGTAGCCCACATGCACAACGGTGTTGCACACGTTAGCGAAGAGTACCAGTAGTACTCGCTTACGGAGTCTCCAGCAGTACGATGTCATCGGCGTACTCAAGGTCCGTTAGGAACGCAGTTACAGTGTTGAGCTGCGTCGCTGACATAGGGGCAGCAAGTAATCGTCCTAATTTGGGACGATTCTCTTCCCCATAATATAGTCCGTCATGACGTTGAATAGGAAACAATAAAGCTCCGCGTTTTACGAAACTGACCTAATAATGTTCAACCTCAGACAGTGATTCTTTATTCAAATGGCGCATTTGGTACCCTTGTACAGACCTTTGACCAGGTTTGCCATCGCATGTGTTGTCTAAGAGGACTGTGTGGTTCGATTCAGCTAGAGGGTGAGAGGAAAGAATTTGTCACACATTGCTTCAGACTAGGGTTGCTCACTCGATAGGGCGTTGAACTGAGAACCGGTAGATCTGAAGTTCAAGCACTGGTCGCCCTTATTTCTTGCGGGGTTTTGATGACTGAGTACCATTTTGTAGGAAGGACGCACGAAACTATGCGCTACGTTTGCCACATGGCTGTAGACGCAGCTTTAAAAAATTAGGTTTAGAAACGGAGATGAGCCCCGCACCATCGACGTTATGAAAAGAAGGGTGCCAAAATGGCCCTATCATAAAAGTTAAGGAAGAAGACATTCGAACTTTGGCCAAGTTTCCAGTCATCGCCTGTGGTACACATGGACACTGTGTTTAGCAATCCATATTTTCCATCGATGGCTGTCAGGAAGTGCAGAAACGTTGCCTGCTATAGAACCTAGAAGCTCCGGCACTGGTCGATGATTTGCTATAGCACAAAACTTGTTCGGTTAGTTATAGTGAATGACTTAGTCGTCTAGAAATGATTCACGCGTAGGCCGTCTCAACACCGGCAGGAAGGTAATTCCTTAACGATCTGAAAGTCTCAGTTAAAACGGATTCTCAAACAATGATGCAAATGCATTTCAGTATTACTGTGGCTAAATTTCTCGACCAAGGTTTAGAAATTATCGCAGCGAGTAGTTGGCTGTAATTGGTTGCCATAAATTGGGTAAAAATAACGAAATCATTGAGTTGAGTTATATTGTTTGCTGATAATAAAACAGAAGAACGACCTTTATTCCCCCTCCCCCCAATCATTAGCTTCGATGAAAACCGAATTTTTCATTACATGCTCATACAGCAAGAATAATGGTTCAACAGAGACGAAGGCAAGCCAACACACCGGAGCTTAACTGTCGATCAAATAATGTCATTGCCACAGCATGTTGGGCTGAAACGGACGTTATTCATTGTAACTTCCTCACGCTCAGCGAAACAGTCACAGCAGAAATGTATCGAAGTGAACTCGATCAGCCCTCCCAATCAGAAAGGTTCAATTGTAATGCTCAACAGGGCCAGTCCTCACTGTCACATGTTATTTTCAGGAAACTAAACGAGTTGGCGCGAGAACTTGCCATCGCTTCCCTCATTTGTCATAATTTTCTCAGACAAAAAGTAACCTTAATAAGTACCTTGGAAGTTACTGAGTTTCGAGAAATAGTTCTCCAGTCAAACAGTGGTTCACCGATTGAAGAAATCTATTTTTTTTCCAAAATACTACTAGCCCACTAATTATTTGGTAGAGATCTGCAGGCGGCAAAAAAATCATATCTTGAGCAATGATAGGAAGTCTCGAAGTTGCTTTTCATGATAATCGTATGGTTCAGACATTCCAATTGAGCGGAATGGCTCACCCTAGCCTCTGTTTGTGCATCTCGGTGCAAAAATTATATTCCCGGTTGCTGGATTAAGTAAGTTTTCGCTGTTGGAGATTGCACCTCAGCTTCAATCTTGTATGTCTATTAATTGTGTAATTTGTGCATAATTTTTATTTTCACTAAAAAAAGTGAATCTCGTGTTGTTTCGAAAATATCGGTATGAAAATTCATTCTCTGTAATTGTAGTTTTCTGCTTTGGACTTCCGGTTGCTCTATTTTCATTTATCCCGCATTGTTTTGGAGAAGTCTCAGGGCCGTCGACAAGCGTTTCAACATTGCTCAGTTTCTTCGTCGCCTTGCTAACAGGTACAGTACCACTACAGTATGCACTGTTTTCCTTGTCTGACCCGTGAGTTGGTTTCAGGATTTCATTTCGCTGAGTTAAGCATTCGCTTGCCGCGATCGAATCCATTCTACGAGTATACTTACGTGACGAAGGGTGAAATCTGGGCGTTCGCTGTTGGCTGCTTCGTGCTGCTCGACTACTGTCTGATGATCACGTACGTTGCAAGAACTTGGAGCAGATACGTGGATTTCCTGTTCCTCAACAAGCTAAATGCCACGAATCCGGTGCTGTCCGTCGACAGTCACGTGTATCACGATAGTTTTGATTGGCTTGCAATGGTCGGCATACTGGCCTCCAGCATGATCGCTCCTCGCAGCATCAAGGCTTGTGGCTCCAGTTTACTGGTGACTTAAATTTAAGCCACGCTTTTAGCTGACCGCTGCAGTTTGCTCAGTGCTGACCGCGGTTTGCGTTATGACCCTACTGTCTTCCATCATAGTGAGTCTGTTTCACGTAGATGCCATCAACTGGATTCAACACGGTTATTTTACTGGAGGATTTTCCGGAGTACGTTTTTCAATTTTATTCCTT